AGCTCAGCGGCTGCTCAGCTCGGGCTGGACTCGAACCGCTGTTGCTCAGAGCTCAAACTCTTGAGCAAGCTCTTAACCAACTGAGCCACTCTGCCGGCCCTTGGTTGCTTTAAAATGTAACATTTTAACAAAAGTTGGGTCACCAAAAATAGCGCTTTGTGTTATGATCCCTTTAAAAAAGTATTCATCAGATTTTCTGTTGGGTGCCAAACTGAGATGATTCTTATTATTATTGTTTTTCAATGAAATACTTAGGGACTAATCTGGGAGTAACAAGGATAATTACTTTCAGCTTCAGAAAAATGTTTACTTTGAACAACTGGTGTAGATTTGCTCTAAGGCAATGAGTGGCTTCATGAGTCCAGGTAGAATCTTTAGGTCACAATAAAGCAGTACAGCCTCTCACTGGCCAGATGGAAGCATCACATTCGCTTCCGTATACCATGTTTTAAGAGGAACATTTTCAAATGAGAATGGGACAATTTTAGACATTTATTGGTGCCTCCTCGGCATCTATTCCTCTCTTCCCAAAATGATCCATTTTATTTCTTAGCCATGTGGTTTAGGTAACATTTAACCCACTTTCTAATCTGGTCATAAGACCTTATTTTCTTAGGTTAATGATTATATCCCATCCTCATGTTAGCAGGTTCCAAGAATTAACATATTTTCTGAGTCAAGCCTGTAAGACACCATTTTGGGATTCGGGCATATAAACACTCTCATTCACTGTAAGAAAATGAGAAAATCCTTGGAACTGTTACTTCCATCTTGGGATGATGCTTGTAGAGCTTTTGTAAACATGGAGCCAACACCAAAGGTAAAGCTAAAAACTGAAAAGGGAGAAATTTGCCTCCTGATCACATTATTTGAATACAAATGAAGCCTACTCTTCTTTTACGACTCTGTAAATTATTTTGTAAGTCATTTTGTGCTGAATTTTTGTTACTGTAATCAAAAGACTTTTAACTGATTGCCAAATAAATGTGCTAAAAAGTAACCCGGGCTTAGATTTGAGTCCTAACTTGTCACTCATGTAAACTTGACTAAGTTTGTAAAACATGTGAGACTCCATTTCCAGATCCATAAGATGGGATTAATAATCGCTGCTTTACAGAGTTGTAAGACCCTTGGAAACATATTTTTGAAAATGAAGAAAACCTAAGAATTGGGAAATAGCTTTAGAGACTATAAAATATCATGCAAATATTATAATAGTTGATGTTGTGGTCAAGCCAGTGACAAGGCAGGGAACCTTGTCACATACTGTGGAAGGAGTAGGAGTATTTAGCTCAAGAAGAGAAAAATAAAGACATGGCAATATTCTTCATGTATTTAAAAGGCTGCCACAAAAGGATATTTTTTCTGTCTAGCGGAAGAAGGACAGATTAGAAAAAGTAGATGAAAATTTTTAGCTCAGTGCAATATGGAGCTACCAAATCACAAGTTACCTTAGAAAAATAAAAGTGTGTCACTTTTATCCAGGATTGTGAATAATGGATTGGGTGGGACACTGAAGAATGTATGTATTAAGAATATAATTTCTGCTGTCACTTTTTGCTCTAAGGATCTCTGTCTCTATTCCTGTGTCATTGTAGGTACCTGGCAATATCTGACTCCACCGATATTAACCCAGTTACTGACATTCCAAATATTGACCATTCTTACAGTTTAATTATTGAACATTTGTTTTTATAAATAATTACTGTAAAATCCTTTTTAAATACATTTAAAATACTTACATTGACACTTTTAAACATATAACATTAATTAAGTAGCCGGTCTGCCTTAAACCTCAGGATATACCTACCTCTCAAAATGGTTCTGAGGATTAAAGAAAAATACACATAACTATTTAACTTTAAACACCAAATATCATTGCTTATATATTTTTACTTTAGTACTTTTTATATCATATTCTGCTTAACTCTGCTGTTTCTTTCATACAAATCTGTCAGTTGGCAGAATCTTTAACTTAGCATAGTGCCTGAAACGTAGTATATATTGTTGCTGAGATGCCCACAGCTGTTGTTGGTACTATTATTATTACCACCATCCTAATCACCTTGGTAATTTGAACACCTAGCACAGTACATGCATACTAAGCAGTGAGTGAATGGATGATTACCTAAGGCTGTGGTTTCCAACCTGCATCAGGTGGCCTGGGGTACTGCAGTGAACTCACAGGGGTGCTGCAGGGTATTTTAAATATGAGAGGGCAACACAGAGGGACTTGAAGTCTTTTGGAAACCAGGTAAACTACGAGTTTTTCCATTCTGATTTGTCTTGTGTTCCTTTATAATGTCATATCTTAGTGAAGCTGGGTTTGGTTTAGGGGTTGCTGTGATAAAAAGCAAATACCATGCAAATATCAATGTGGAACAGGAAATCAGAGTATTATTGTCCAGTAAGGCAAAGATTTAAAGAGCTGTGCATGCCTAGTGTGGACAGCATTCTCATGAATAAGTAACTATGGTTAAGGATGAAATAAAAGTATGTTTCTTTCAATTTTTGCATATCATCTTTGGAAATAGTTACTAAGTTTTATGACCCAATTAACTAATCAATGGAATGATTAGGTATTTCTTTTGGCTTAGAGAGGGCATCATGAAAAAATTCCTGAGGCAGCAATGGAGCCGTGAACTGAGAAAGCTGGGAAGCTTTAGCTGAGAAAGTTTGGGAAGCTTTAGCCCAGTACCCACCTTATCTGGTGCTCTGGGGTACACAAGAAATATAAGACATAATCCCTACTCTTAAGTAGATTTTCTTTGAATTGAGGAAATAAATTCACTCATGCACTGAAGATGAATTATGCATCTACACCGTGTACCAGATACCATATTGAGTTCTAGTTGTAAAGAATATGAACTGTGATAAATATAATCCCTGACTTCAAAGGGATCTCAACTTGGTAAGATGGACAAGAAAAGCAGTTATTTCAATTCTGAGTTATGGAGTGCTTTCAGAGATAAGATGTAGGGTGCTCTTTGAGCAGATACAAGTGGTGCTAGGTTCACCCCCACCATGAGGAGATGTGGGAGATCTGGTACATTTCAGGGAAGGCTTCTAGGGATGATGACACTTAAATTGAATTATGCAGAAGGAGGAGCAGGCTCGCTTATCATAAGAGAAGGATAAGGGAAAACCATTCCAAGCTGAGAAAGCATGACATGTCCAGGGAACTGCAGATTGAATACTTACCATGCACGTGACAAAACCATAGTTTCTACAGAGGTCACAAACACGAGTGAGACTTAGCCTTTGTCCTCAGGATTTTACAGTGAATGAGGGAATACGTCAGATCCATGAATTGCCCTACTGCGAGGCAGAAGATGACAAAGCACAGCCGGTTGAGGCATTTGAAAACAACGGAGGGAATAAGCATAGTAGGTGGTGGATATCAATTTGACAGGAATTGAAAATGTTTCTTGGGAAAGTAGAATAAAACAAAGATGGAGTTGATATGCTTAAACAGATGATGAGAACTCTGAAGTTACGTGGTT